TCCGTGACTGTTCTTGAATGGGCCAGCCAGAGCCCTGACTTAAACCCAATTGAGCATCTCTGGAGAGACCTGAAAATGGCTGTCCACCAACATTTACCATCCAACCTGACAGAACTGGAGAGGATCTGCAAGGAGGAATGGCAGAGGATCCCCAAATGCAGGTGTGAAAAACTTGTTGCATCATTCCCAAAAAGACTCATGGCTGTATTAGCTCAAAAGGGTGCTTCTACTAAATACTGGGCAAAGGGTCTGAATACTTATGACCATGTGATATTTCAGTTTTTCTTTTTTAATAAATCTGCAAAAATGTCATTCTGTGTTTTTCTGTCAATATGGGGTGCTGTGTGTACATTAATGAGGAAAAACAATGAACTTAAATGATTTTAGCATATGGCTGCAATATAACAAAGAGTGAAAAATTTAAGGGGGTCTGAATACTTTCTGTACCCACTGTATATAATATGCATTAGCTCCTCAAATATAGGCCACTAATAACTTTGGGATAAATGGGGAGGCACTTCTGTAGGTTTCTCAGCTAAAATGATGCATAAAGCTGAGGCCTGAGATACCTTGATATGATACTGTGACAAACTATTTGAAGAAACCCCAGCAGTCAGCTTTGCTTGCATCCAAACAGCAATGCCATTATCTATCCAGGACAACCACGATGGAAGAGCAAAGAGATAAATGAGAAGACTTTTAGGGATGATAGAAGAGGAGAGGCTGAGGAAAGGAGGGGGAGGGAAGGAGGGTGACTGAAACATCCAGAGCTGCTTCAAAGGGAACAGAGAGATATAAGATGAAGAATGATAACCTGTAGATGTAGAGAGGGAGAGAGAGAGAAATCGCCAGAATGATCAGTTAGGGAATCAAAGGTATGTGGAGGTCAGGGTGGGATGAGGGGTTGGAGGCAGTCTGGAGGGGTGGGATGAGCCGATCTGAGTAAGGCTACTGTGGAGATTCATAGAGAGGAAATCAAATAGAGATCTGAGAACTCAGTGACAACTAAAGACCATCCTGGATGCCACTTTGAAGTGTCACCACACATTACATAATGCATGTGACCGCTCTTATGACAAATGCAAAATGAACTGGAGGGGAAATTGCTTTAGAAAAACAGGATGAACAATGGAGCTCTACTTTCAATTGGTTTCACATCCCATTAAAACAGGACTGTAGAGAGTGGTTGGCAAATAACCATGTTGTGTCTTTGGACTTAAATTCCTACATAATACATGACTACTGTGAGACAAGGCACATAAAAGATGATTCTTTTGGAATGAAATCACCATTATCATCATGTTCTTTCATGTGGTTAACTAGCCACATTAACCAAATCATTATCGAGATCAGGCAGCTGTGCAATACATTGCACAATTCAGTCATTGTGCCGAATTCGTCTGTGGGCTTTGAGTCTATATCAACCTGCAAAAAGTCTTTTCAGAACAACCAACAACTAGAAACACAAAGAAAAAGTCAGAGAATATAGCTGCCACCAAAACAAAGAGCCACATAGAGGACAACAAACTGAAGTCAATGATTAATCAGCCTGGACAAACCAGCGTTCCCGCTGTAAAGACCAAATCCTGGCTCTGTTTGTCTGCAAGCTTGCACACACATCTCTGCTCTCAAGCAAAAGACAAATACTGAAAAACATGAGTTCATTTTTTATTGTCTTGTACAAAAACATAACAGCTTCCCAAGATTTCCATTGCTAAGTGAAATCTCTAAAGACCAAAACAGCCATTTCACAGACACCATCAGACAAATGACTTTGTTCTGTGTACATTTCTCCACAAATCACACTATGCAATTAATGCCATTTTTCTCCTGGACTGTCATGACAAAGACAAATCAATTAAAAAGGTTCCCTGGGTTAGTGAATGCACAATTACACACACATAACTGGTCTATCCAACTGTTTAATGTGTTGGGCATCTCCTGTGCTGGATAGCACTGAAAGAACAGCTATGCTGGGCCACTGGCTCTCGTGGGCCATTGTGGCAGGAGCAGCCAGCTGCCCATTAGACAAATCCAGCAGACCTGTGCTTGCACTGAGGGACTGTACATCAACACTCAGGACTCGTCACTTTGCTACAGAGACAGAGAGTGAGGGACAGGGAAAGAAAATGACTTTTTATTGCCTGCATTTATTGGCAAACACCACAAGCAGCCCTAACCCTCACCCACTCCTCTTCCCCAGTCTCACAATGCTGCATCTCCTGTGGACGGCCTGCTCAGTCCCCTGGCCAACAACCTACCCGCATCTACTGTTTTCATGTGGTGGGAAAGGTGACCTCCCCGCTGCACTGCACACACACATTGTTACCTCCTCCATCAGGCCACCTTCACCTCTCTGCAATGTAAAGCCACACAGGAACAAACTGGCAAGAGACACACATGCAGTCACACCCATCTTTCTCCTCCTCTCTCTCTCTCTCTGCCATATGTAAATAAACAAAGGCAAAGAGGTGAAATATGCCACTTTTTAGCAAATCTTTTTCATGTTTTGCACAAAATCCTGTTCTCAGAAAAGATGAGAATCATAACAGAGTCACTTTCACCATCCACTTCTGTTTATATTCTGTTCAAAGTCCAAACATTCTGCCAGCTCATCCCACCAGTTGTTAAGATTTTCTGTTTCAACACAAGTCCTCCTGAGCAGATTTCACTTTGGGCTCTTGTAACCTGTTAGCTCCTCAAAGCAGAACATCATCATTAAGACCAGGGGTGACTGAAACCAGAGCTGATGGTGTCACTGAAGGTCACCTGTGGTGCTGTGAGGTCGCAGAGTTAATGGTGGGTTTGATGACCACCACCTCTATGTGGATATTATACTGCGCCATTCATCAGCTGTGTTTAACTTAAGAGGCTGTGTGAAGGGGTTGCAATGGCTGTGAAGGAGGAGTGACAACCTAAACCCATGTAACACTTTGTAAATTGGTGGCTGTGCGTCTGGCTGAAGAACTGAAATGACGAAGGACCGAATGGAAGAGATGCAAGTTCATTTAGAGGATATTAAGTGAATAGAAACCTATGAAAGCCGCATGAAAATGCAAAAATCTGGACTCTGAATAGTGGTTTCCCTGCTGCCAAAGACCCACATTTAGTGGGATATTTAGCAATAACTAGACCATGATCCACACCGTCAGAACATTTCAGCAACGCACTCGGTAAATGCCACAATGTATGTGCCACACAAACGTGTAGAGACCCGGGCAGCAACGTTACACCTCATATGAGCTTCCGAACAGTCCGTGGCCAGCGTCCAGAGCTGCCGTGCCTCACACCGAGACTTATAGACGCCAAGCCACATAGTGAACGGCACACGAACGCACAGACATACACGCGGACAAGACAGCTGGAAATGTCCAGGGCAATATTAGTATAGACGCTTATCATAGGGTAAAGTGCGCGGAAAAGAAACGCCAGGAGGATTCAGAGGAGTTGGTCTTTACTTACCTAAAAGGCACGGAGAAGTGTGCTTTTACAGCAAATCCAAACTTTTAAATGAAGTCTATATTAAACGACGTACAGCTTTGTTTTTGCCCAGAACATAAGTCCACTGTATAATCCAAACTGAGCTCCGAAGCAGCTGTTGCGCTCAGTGAACAACCTCAGTTCAAAGTCCGAGGAAATACGCTAATATCACACCAGCAGCCTGACTTTCTCTTGAAACAAATAACTGGGCAACTTGGCGACGGTGAGGAAAAATGTAAAACAAGAGTTGGAGAGTATGCACCGTCCCTGCGCCGTGACCTCTCGCTGAATAACCGCTCCGCTTGCTTAGCTCCAACCTCAATCAGCCCAGGCTCCGCAGCCGGGCCAGCAGACGCCACCAGGTGCTCATTTACATAACTGCACTGGCTGTGTCCAATCACAGCTCCGAGCAAGGTGTCTCATTGAATATCCCAGCAGGCGGCCCGTCCAATCAGAAACTCCTGTGGGCGGGCGCTTTGACCCTATATTACTGTAGAGTTAAACTCATTGTGAAGCCTTGGGGGCTGTGGGAGTTTTTTAGTTACAATAAGTAAGGCAACGCCTGCACATCTGTGGTTTGGAGGCAGTGTGCAAGCGTTACCTTACTTATTGATGCTTCTTTGAATTGTCTGGCACCTACTGGTGATGTGCATCTAACTATTTTTGGTCTTGTCAGTTCCTTTGTGACACCAGATTTGGGGAATATGGCATTTGATACAACAGCAGGCAGAGTGCTTTCCACTTGTTAACCCTTTGCTTGGAGGAGAATGTTGCTCTGCTGTTTTTTAATAGATATCTTGTAATAAAAACTCATACGGTCCTTGAATTATCTGTTCTTCCTCTCTGCATCTTGCCAGGTCCATTTAATGTAGTCCCACAGCAGCTTGCCTGGGTATTTGCTTCTAAAGGAAACTTTATTACAGCCTATTGGTGGTGTAACTGTATACCATTACTGGCCCTGGGCTGTAATGACTCAGATTGAAGAGTTCGCGGTAAAACACAGCAGCAGAACTGGAACCAAGAGAGTTGGTGATATGAGACCCAGAGGTATGAGTGAGATAAGAATTCATGCTTTAAAAGAGTCACATATGATATGTTTACACCAAAGTGCATCAAAAGTTGAATAAGTTAGAGAGACAGACTGAAGCAGCAGTTACAGTATGTGTTTGTACTTGCCTGTCAGACTGAGAGGAGGGAAATTTTAACCAGTTCTCAACAAAGGTCATTTAAGATATTCTGAGCTCCACCTTAAGTAAACGGGAAAGAGGAACACTGATACACTTTCTGCTGTGTAACATTTGACTTTTGTGTGTCTGGGTGAGAGTGTGAGTGTTTAAGTTTGTATATACACACTTTATTTTGCACATACTTTGAAATGATACAGTGATGTCAATAAATCAAATGTTTGATTGAAATTAAGGTGACAAAAAGATGCATTCATGCCATCTAGAGAAGTACATTTGGTATTGTTATTTATTTGAACTGTATTTGATGTTGTGCATTGTTAGTCTCTGTGTATTAATATTTGTGTCTAAGGGTTGGATCAACATTTGACCATATATTAAATGTTCTAAGGAAAATGAAAAAATGTAATCACATATGATAAGAAATAGAAAAATAGACTACAAACCCAAAGCAACATGAGCTGCATGTGTATGCACATCATTTTTTCTATTTGTCAGTCAATTCTCAATTGAGTTTATACATTTCTGTTCTTAATCTTGGGCTTTTCCTCCATTTCTTCTCCACCTTTACCCCAGATTACAGCCTCCACACCCCCATCCTCACCCCTTTCACCCTCCAGCTCCTTTTCCAAGTTTCTTTGTGTTTGTATTGCACTTTATCTGGCCTGGCCTCATTCTCTCTGCATGTCATTAACATTCTCTCACCCCTTTTTAGTTCAAAACTAAACCAAACCAAAGCATTCCTCCCCCTTTTTAGTTCAAAACTAAACCAAAGCATTCCTCTGTGTGTGTATGTGTGGGGGGTTAATGGTTAAGCTTTCCTCTCTCAGACTTTTACATAAAACATAACGTTGTGGTTACTGTTTACTCTCTGTTTAGCCACAGTGCTATCAGGTTTTATTAATGTTTTCTTCTTATCTGGAGTCTATTTAATACAGATGTTTATTTATTTAGATGATTTTTAACCAATGCAGACTGTGATAAAGTTGAAGGGATAATGAAGAAATTATCGTAGATACTTGACAGGTATCCACGATGTTCACCAGCAAAATGTTTAATAATTCCCAGTAATTATCCTGCTGATGAGTGTGTTAAAATCACCTTTTGTTCTCTCACTCCCTGGATGCTTCCCCTTCTCTTTTCAGCCCTTTCTGTTGAGCACATCATCCAACTGGCTCTGCTTTGTTCGTTGTCCAGGCAACTGCAGTCCCCAGGCAGAAATTATGACCTTTTCAGCGTGATCTCTTTTCTACCCTGTACTGCCTCTCTCCCAATTTTTGTGTGTCTCTGTTTCCTTTTGCCCTGATCCTTTTCATATTTTCATATACTTAGTTCCTCCACAGAGTTTTGCTTTAGTTGTCACTAACCCCCCCACCCACCTTTTTTCCCTCTTTCTCTCTTTCTACTCATTCTCACTTTGAGTGAAAACCAGTGGAGCATAAAAAGCAGGTCTGATCCTGTGAGGAATTCACATGGTGAGAGAGGAGGGCAGAACAGAGACAAAGAGAGGGAGGGAAAGATAGGAGTTCAGATTGTATCCCACTCATGAGTCAGTAAGGACAAGAAAGTACTTGATGCAATAAGGAAAAGGGAAAAGGAATAAGTTGCCTGAAATATCAATAGTCTGTCAAGGCAGCCAAAAGTCAACAGACAGAAAAGTGTGTTTAAGGATAAAAGAAAGTCTTCACTTTTTGAAAAGTTTACTGTATTCAGCAGAAAATTACCATTTTCATCCAAAGCTTCTATTCAGATGGGATGACAACTGATCTATTGCCTGTCATCGTGAATGCGCTGCTTGAATTTATCACCTCTCGGGCATCGCTTTAGTCAAAATACACAAACATCTGAATTAGAAATGGAAGTGTTCAACTCAAAGGCATTTCATGAAACAACACACACTCACACACAGAGGCAGGCAGCCTGTCCACCCCCTGTCGGGGTCTGACAGCTGTGCAGGGCTACAGGATTCAGACAACACAGATCAGTTGCAGAATGTGAAGCCTGCAGTATGTTAGGAACTGGCATAAAACCACATACCAAGCATTCTACCTTCTGAATCATCTCTGTCAGTGTCATTTTCACAGGGAATAACCAAAAGCAATAAACGTCTAAGATTTGCAATGGTCAGTGGAATATCCCAGAGAACACCTGAGAAGCCTCTTTTTCTTTGCATGCAAGTGTGACTTCAGGTCTGTGTTTGGTTTAAACATACATGTATGCATGTGTGAGAGTGTGCACATACTGCATGTCTGTGTAAATGTACAACTGCACATGCACCCCTGTGTTCCATCCGTAATGTCTGTTTACTTGTCTGTGCTCTGTCAGTATCACTGTCAGAGGCCTTAGGCAGGCTGTAGTTGATTGGTCCCCAGAGAGGATCTGGGAGCGGTGGAGCTGTCACAGGTCACAGGGTCAGAGTCTGCTCCAGGGGGAGGTTCACGGGTGGCAGGGTCTCCCTCGCTCTTTTTTAGGTGGTCAATTAGGAAAATGGTTTTGTTACCTCTTCTCCACAAACCTCTATGACTTTTCTGTCATATCTGTTGGTTCCCTTTTGTCAAATTGTTTTTGGAGCTAAATGCTAACACATACTGATTTAGCATGCTAGCTGACAGGGTCGTTATTCATTTTGAGGATATTTGGTCATAGAATAAACTCTGACCTAATGAAAAATCAGAAGATCACCAAAATTATTTCAGTTCATTCTCAGTAGAACATGATTGTCTGAAATACGTTTTATGAAACTGCAGTACAGCTGTGGAGTTATTTAATATCAATACCTCAAATGACAGCCTCACTGTGCAAGAGCATAAAGGTCAGGGGATCACCAAAGGTATTAGGACATATCATCTGGGGACCATGAATATCTGTACAACATTCTGTGCCAATCCAGCTACTAGATGCTGAGCTATTTCACAGAATATGTGAAAACGTTAATGTTAACGTGGCGTTAGAGGAAAAGTCAAGGGAGCACCAAGGTCGCCAGAATTCATCCTCTGGGGACCACAAACAGCCGTGCAGAATTTCATGACAATGAATCTTAGTTGTTTAGATTGTAGATCACCTGCTGTGATCCTCGTGTGGTTTTAAGTCCTGACGCATCTTGTTTTGATTTAACATGATGATTCAGACTTTTGAAGCGTTATCATTCTGTCAAAAAGGACTGATTGTTTATCATCCTTTGATGTTCAAAATGAGTGTTTTAATCATCTCGCAAGAGGAAACTACACTCTTTTCAATCACTAGATTCTAATTTTGAAAACAAAATATTGCGTATAGGAAAACACTTTTGCACTTTTCAGATTCATTTAGCTGGTTTACATGCACAGCTCACCTACAAGATATTCAAGCATCCTGCCTGGACTGTGCTTGTGACCGAGTAAGGTAAGCGGCAGGATGGGGGCAGGTGGGACTGTCGTGTGTTGGTGGGTGCGAGCGTTCCAGATGACCCCTCACATAGTCAAGAGTCCCTGGAGACCCTCTCAGCTGTAGCAGCGCACTTGTGCCTCCTTCTCCTCATGGCTGGAGGAGGTGGAGGGAGGAAGGGAGGGAGGGTGGATGCAGGCTCTTTTTGGGTGTTAAGTTTCTCTCCCCCTTCAGAAATCCCCTGCTATTCATCTGTGCAAACACACACAGACACACACATCTGACATTGTGGAGAACTACAGCCTCTGTTATTGGCATTTAAGGGGTTCCTCTACAACTGTCGCCCTCTGTTCTAAGTGTCACTCTAGCCCCTTTAGGATTTTACTTCCCTTTTCCTCCCCCCCTTCCTCCCCTTCTTTCTTTCCTCACCTGTCTGAGTCAGCCACTGAATGAATGGCCTCCCTTTCTTTCCCAATCTGTCTGAGCTGCTGTCAATAGCATTTTGAGAATTAACCACCATAACCACCACCGAATGTGCTCTGATCTTCTTTGTCTGAACCTCCACCCTACTGTCTTTCCTAATTGCATGTTTAGTCTTTCCACACCCCTTCACAAACAGTAGTTTAACTTAAACAGCCATGTCATGTTCCCAGGGTTTGTAGGTTTGTGTGTAAAGACATATAATTACAGTTATCCTTTAATTATTTCACTTAATATTCAAACTGGCAAAAGCCCAAGGGAGAAACAAAACTCAGCTAATTTACTGAAGTCTTCATTGTCATGGTAACTCAAGTCTGATCTGCTTCCCGTCTCCAC